TAACTTCAGCATACATTGTCCAATCTCAATGAAACTTCACATGTTTCATATGAGTCCCGCCCTGAACACGTCTATGTGATAAATGTGAAATTCAAGGTTTCAAAACAGTACTCCATAAACCAGTGGGTGACATCACGATAGGTTCCTTTCAGGTTGACTATAAAAGTACTCTGTTAGGGTATGAATTTATACTCAGTAACATTTTATTTATTTTGTAAGTCCTGCAAACATTTCAATGTGTATAAACCTAGATGTCATCAGAGGGATGGCCAAAATGGTTGTTCTGTGGTTAGGTGCAACCTGCACCAAATTTCAACCCGTTTCCTGCAAGAGGTTGTGCTCAATAGATATGCAACCCCAGGTTGATGAAATGTTTGCAGGGTCGACCTTTTTCTGTCTGAGGACATTTGACAACAAATCCACACATAATTTCTCAACCTAACTAATATGGATTTCTACTTTTAGACTGCAAAAAATACCAAGAACAATTAGCTGCTAGGATTCTCCAAGGTGTGCTCACGTGAGTGACGTAGTGAAGTGACGTGTGACACAGTAGAGCTTTCCCACTGATCTATAGATTTTCACATACAAGGGATTCATCAGTTTCAGAAGTGTTTTGAGTTAAATTCTCATCTGGTTTTACAGTGTAGCTCTTAAAACTGCATACTGTTTAATGCAGGATGATGATATATAGGCCTACTGTGTATATATTTTTTTTAATTTTTTGCACCTCTTACTACAGGGAATTTCTATTGCTTTGTGTTTCATTAGATTCATCCAGAAAGGTCGTGAGGATACAGCAGGCTACAGTGGATAACAGCAATGTTCCTAAGATAGTTGTAAAATAACACCTGCTATTGGTGATGCTGCAACGTGGTAGTGGAAGTAGTGGAACTTTTCAGATAGCTTATTAACTTCTGACACATCCCAAATTACATGCCAGTGAAGTCACTTTTTTTGTCAGTGATAATTATGGTTGCAAATTACTGCTGTATCTGATCTTGTTTGTATTCTCTCTGCTGCTGCTCATCCTCCCTCTAGAACAGTACTTCATATTATTGTATAATAATAATAATATATGTCTTTATTGCGATCTGCCATTATTCTAACTGGCATATCTGTTTTTTGTCTTTTTACTGCCCATACAGTCACCATGAGGACCGAGGCCATCCTAGTTCTGACTGTATTCATGTCAGTTATCCTGATACCTGCATCTTCTGCTGCTCATCAAACAAACAACAGCAACACCACCCTCTCGTCTCTTTCCATGACTGTGAATTATACATTTGATTCTGCATCTAACAAGACTCAGTCTGCCATGGGAAAAGAGGTAATTAATGACACCACAACTGCATCACCCTCAACATCTTCGTCATCATCCACAGTGACATCAAGTTTCCAAACAACCACCCAACTTCCTCCAAAGTCCTCCGCAGCACCAACCACAAGGACAACCCCTGAAGCCAAGAAGTCTAACACAAAAAAGTTAATAATCTTTTGGATTCTTTTGGCCATCATGGCTGTGGCGCTGATTGTGGGATTCCTCCACACCATGAGGAAGAGGTATTTAGACCAAGACAACTCTGTCCCAAGGCTCCTACTGGGTGTGAGGCAGAGGCTGAGGGAAACCATCGGTAACCTAGAGCACCGGATGGGGCTTCGCCTCTGGCCAGGGGGGAAGAGAGGAGGGGAAGATGATGAGGAAGCAGAGGGAAGTCAGGGTGAAGATGATGGACAGAGGATGGATGACGGGGGAAATGGAGGTGGTTGTAGAGCAAGGAACAAAGGCAAAGGGGATGACGAGGACAACAGCGACAGTGATGACTCTTCCAGTATGGAGGAGAACAAAGCAGGGGAAAGCAGACGAGAGGTAGAGGAGAGGAAGCAGAGTGGGAACGAGTACGAGGAGGAAACAAGCAGTGAGAGTGAGGGAGGCCAAAGTGCCGGAGAAGGAGAGAGCAGTGGAGATAAAAAGGGAGGCTCAGAAGAGATAGCACTAGTCAGCTCTCCACAGGAGGATGACCAAAAGGCTGATTTATGTGATGTCACTGTCCTGTAGTAATTAAAGGAGGGATTGAAAGAAGGAGAAAGAGATGCTAGGATTTTAAATGGATAAAATTGCTGATCACGGATCAGATTTAGAAGAATAATTGTGTTGTGATGGTTTTATATGCATGCTGAAGATTAAAGGTTTTGAATACTTCATGACATTCTTCATTTTGTGATCATGATTTACAAACTGAACATCTTCTGATGTGTGTGGGGAATCAAGTCTGTGTGTTTTTGATGATCTTCAAATAAAGTGTTGAAATATCTTCTGATTTATTTATTCAACATACAATGTGTAATTTCTGCCACTAGGGTGTATCTAATATCAATACAATAGCAAAAGATAATGACGTTTGATGATGATGTGAAGTAGCTTGGGATCATGGGAGTTGTTGTCTTTACCACCATTGCGGTCATTGCAGTCAGCTTCTTTCGGTTAGGATTCCTTTAGTGTTCATGGTTCAGGAGGTTTATACCGGAAGCCCAATTATCCACAGAGGTCTCTTCCTCTCCAAAACAAACAGAC